ACCTTCAACTCCTGAGGGCCCCGCAATGATGGCCAAGTACGTAACCGTTGGTCTAGTCAGGGTCGAACTGCTGCCCGTTGACTACTTCACATCCAAACTGCCGACCGCCGGTCTCCAAATGGCCTCCCAATCTGGAGTAATAATCCCCTGTCAACAAGCCCCGCTATTCCACTAAGCCGCATCAGCAGCCACTTTCCCCCCYTAAGTCCAGCCGCCGCCGTATAACAGACCGCAACAGTCAGTCGTGGCCGCAGCGGTGCTCACTGGTATACAGCAGTCAATAGGTCCAGCCGCCSGCACACAGTCCTCAGTCGCGGCGACGGTACACAGYGATAGTCTGCTGCAGACCACCGCGGTATACAGCAACTGGTACACAGTCAAWWGTGCCTGCAGTTTGTAGCTACCCCTATGAGCAGYATTTCACGCGCAGCCGCAAGGTGCTGCAGCAGACTACAGTAGTAGCCTTCATACGTCATCAGACTGGGTACAACTACGCACAATAACTAGTCACAGYAGCAATCTATAGGAGCGGTCGGCACAAGGGACAACAACGTTAGTGGTATCGCAGCGGGCTTATCTCAACGACAATCCCTCTCTTATGCAGCAGTAAACTTGAAGGGCCGGACCACAACTACTTTCCTTTGCCCTCCTGACTGGTGACCATGGCAGCATATCAACCAACACCTAGCCATGCGCTAGTCACCATGCATGCCTTCAGCCTCGWGGTCAGACTCATGCTGTCTTCAAGCGGCGGGATGGGCCGGGTACCGGCTACAGGTRGGCCCTTAGTTCGCAGCTTTCCCGTAGCTYCGTCACTCAGTGSCCTGAGCCACATATCGGCCAGCAGGTAAGCCCTCCCAGCCCTGCTACAGGCTTCCTACCTTTCTGCCACAGGCAACTCCGTGCCTGTAAGTGCTCGGCTCCTGCCTTCCTTGTATGCATCCTGGTCGGACCCACCGCCCGCTGCCTCTTTCTCTTCCTATGCAGCTGCTGCTCTCGGAGTCGGGCAGGTGAGGCAGCTACATCGAGAAAAGAGAAAAAAAAAATAAAGGAAAAAGAAACAAAAACTGAATGGATCTTCCGCAAGAACACGGGTGGATTCTCCCCTTCTTTACACTCCTTTTTCTACTAATCTAACATTCAAACAGACTCCACGATCGGGTTCGCAACCCTTCGAAACCTCCGATTTGACCTCTTCCCCGCTCGTTTCCATCGAGCGACGGCGAGCCCCTTTGTTTTTTTTTTTTTTCTCCTCAATTCTCCCCCTTCTCCGCCATAGCTCCGCGCATCACTTTTACTACTAACCTCTAATCTCACTAACCTATGGCCGAAACTAACCCCAAAATCACGTTCTCCACCCTTTAAAACCGTCGGTTACGATCTTTTCTCGCCCGTTTTCATTAGGAAACGGCCGAGTTAYGTTCTTTCCGCTACGAACACCTCCCTCCATCCTTGTCCTCGTCCCGCGTGCACCTTACGCGGTATCGCGTCTTGATTCATCCCTCCTCCCATACTTTTTCCTCGTTACCTCTATACTCCCCTGCTCTCTGCGACTTCCCCTCCACACTACTCACGAGACTTGCCCCTCTGCGTTATCTCCCCTCGCTGCCCGAGCGCCCGTCGCCCCATGGCTCCCTACCTCGCCTTCTTGCGAACGTACCCGGGCGCACATCCGGGYCAGGTCCACTTSATCCGCCTCCACCCCCGCTCTGTACCTGCCRCCGCCTACCTCGCTCCTCTCCTCGCTGCGCCCGCTGCCTCGCTGCCTGCTACCGATGCGGCGCCTGYGCCAAGCTCGCCTCTTCCGCCATCCYCCCTTTCTCTGGACATGCATGCACCCGRCGSACCTTCGCGCCCGGGTTCMTCTTCTCCTCGCGGCAGCGCCCTGCAGGTCCTACCGCGTGCTCCTTCGTCGACCCAACATCCCGCTCGCTACTACCGTTGTTCGCATAGCGCCCGCCTCCCTTCTATTGCGGTCCGACTCCGCCTCGCAGTYTCCTTGTCGTAGCGCTTGGCCCCACACAGCGTACTCAGTGTGATTCTGAGGGGAACCAGYTATTAGACGGTTCGATTAGTCTTTCGCCCTATACCCATGTCCGACGAGCGATTTGYACTTCAGTATYMMTGCGAGCCTSCGCYAGAGTTCCCTCTGGCCTCACCCTTACTGGCTTCAKCCATTCGGAGGGAAACTTCGGAGAGGACCAGGTACCAGGCGGTTAGATTAGTCTTTCCCCCTTATACGCAGCTGGTCACTGCTCGGCAGGCCGTCACCACAACCCCCTCAGGGTTGTTCGAAGCCCACCACCCCTTCGGGCTTCCACTGGCCAGACTCCCCTTCAAACAGCTRGCTATGGTACTAAAGGCTCGGCCTGCCGTGAGGCGCGAGCACGGGCCTTAGCGGACTGGGTCGAGTACGGACCTTGGTGGTAGCAGTAGATTTTCCCTGTCGTCGTCCGGCGGCCTGCTCGGGGCGTATCGACGTTCTCACAGTGGGAAGCGAGGGAAGCCACGACCACGGACCCCACGGGCTATGGCCCCCGCAGGCCCTTAAGACAACCATTGCCGCGTGTTCCGCCTACGGCACCATGTCCTAATGCAAAATGGGGTGCGGCCGCAATGCGGCCACGAAAACAGTTTTTAATTGCACTAAAGGCAATCCCGCGAATACATCATACCCCCACATGATTCCATCGCGGTCTCATGTCTTTAAACGGGGCTTGATAAATAAAACAGGAAAAGAAAAGAGGTCAGCGGGGCTGCTGGCGCCACGCCAGTCCCGCTGGTCAGGCCTGCCGCCACCCCTGTAAACAAAACCGAATGGGATAGCCCTGGCGACCCTCCATCCTACTGGTTCCTTCCGCGATGCTTCGGTGTAGTTGCTGCGCTGACGCCCTGCCGACCTCRATCCCCGAACCTCCATAGCGTCAACCCAAAGCCGTAACCTATAGGGCTAAGCCCAGGCCCTGGGACTGAATCCCGCAGAATACCATATAGGCAGTGCGGCGCGATGCTTTGGGCCAACAAAAACGGGTGCGCGGCTCCCAGTGCCCGCGCCGGCTTGCTTATACCGTGCCATAATTGGCGCGCGCGCCATCCTACTACATCCTTCTCACCGCACGAAAATCGCGCCGTTATTGCCGATGCCGTCGTCGGGGTCGTTTCYCYGCACGCGCGCTCGACTTGGTCAATATGCAMCAATCAAACGAAAATATCCTTAATTCCTGCTTAATCAAAAATAAATAAATAATGATAATATCACCAAGCAAAACAACCGGGGTCTGGGCCGGCTTTGCGATCAACAAAAGAAAAGAATCACGCGCGCCTTAAACCTGCGCGCCTACTCACTCGCCATTGTGGTCAAGCATCCTGTCAACGTAAATTACAGACGCGGTCACGCCTAGCGTGGTATACTTAATTTTTAAGCCAAACAACTTTCTGTTACTCGCAAAAAAACCAGGGCGGAAACCAGGGCGGATACCCTTGTAAGGGTATTCGCACCGACAGCGGCCCTCCTCCTCATCGAGGGCGTCATGAATGTCGTTCCTCTCTGCGTCGTCCATCCGCTGTCTCTCGCCACCCGCGGGCGCTCTCGTGTCTCGTATGCCCTCGTCTGCCATCCACCTCTGCACCCACTAAGCATTGGACGACACAAATGTGTAGTCCGTGCCGATCCAGAGTTCCGCGAGAACTCTCATCCCCCCAGCCTTGCAAAACTTCGACTGCGTAAAATGACGTGCGACCTTCGACGCCCCCCCCTGAAGCAGGTGGCCGCATAAGTTGGAACGCAAATTTCGGTCGCCGTGCATCTTGGACTGGTCCCCGACGTACTGGCCCACGGTGACGAAGTTCCAAACAATGGTCCCTCGCCTCAACTTCGCCATCTCCTTCTCGGCCAGCGGGTTGCATTGGGCACCCCCAGACCCCCCCGCACCGCTGCTCCCTGCACCCCCCGTCATCGCCCCCCCACCAGGATCCAACAGGTCGTGGCCTCTATTTTGATGTTGTCTGACCGTGCCGCACCGTCGATGTTGCGTCCCCTCGATGTCGCCGCACCCTGGCGCCCCCGCCGCTCCTGCCTCCGTGTCCCCTCGATGTCGCGCTAGGCAACAGTCCAGTAGCACCCCGGCCGGCCGCCCAGCAGCACGCAACCGAGGCGGGCAGTTCTGCCCGGCCGCCGTCGGCCGCGATCGTCCTCGATCGGCCGCGTTCGGCCGTCGTCGGCCGAATTCGGCCGCGGCCGGGCGCTAAAAAGGCCGCGCGCTTGTGGAAGGCGCGCGCGGCGATGGCGACGGCCGTGCGGCGGCCGCTGTCCCGCGTGCTCGCGCTGCGCGCGCCGCTGCAGGGTGCGCAGGAAGAAGAAGAAGAAGAAGAAGATCTCTCTCTCTCTCTCTCTCTCTCTCTCTCCCAAGAGTCTCTCTCTCTCTCTCTCTCTCTCTCTCTCTCTCTCTCTCTCTCTCGTGGTGAGCAGGCATTTCGGCAGCATAACGGCAACAGCAACAACTGTTGCCGTTTCAGATAAATGGTAACATTTATCTGAAACGGCAACAGTTTTGCCGTGGCCTGGGCCTGGACCCACCGCCCTCACTCGTTGGCACCGAAACAGGGCCAAAATGGCCCGCCGGGCCTTTTTTTTTTTTTTTTTTTTTTCTGTTTTTATTTTTTCCGCATCGCACCGAAGGTCGGACACCCAAAAAATATATATATGGACGTGTAGGGCTTTTCAAGACCTACACGCCCATTTTTTTATTTTTTTTTACACGTAAAAAATGGGGAAAAAAAATAATGCACCGAACTCGGCAGGTCGGCCTAGGCCGAACCGGGCCGATTCGGTCATCGGCCTAGGCCGCGCCCGGCTCGGACCCCCCGCCCGCGGCCGGGCGTGCAACATAGGCATGAGGTCTTTGTGCGGGGCTGTCGTTCATGGTACCGTCGTCACACAATTTCTATCGGTGAGCTACATTGTAGTGTTGTCGGAGGTGTACGGACCGTTTTCTATGGACGGCAGCGTGGAAGACAACCCGTGGAATGCGTGCATCCTATGTCCTGTCCTGTTGCGAATCTACAGCCTGCAAACTTGTCGTCGTCAACAGTGCATGTCACACGGGCCATCGTCCCGTAGTTCTGTCCTTTCCCATCTCCCGTTGTCCGGCACTCCGGACAAGTTGTGGGTGTGTCGTCGCTAGACACAAACATCGGCAGACGAAAGGTGGGCTGGGAAACATGTGAGAACGTGCATGCCATGTCGCGGGTTCTCTTCCTTGTCCGCAGGCCTCCACGTGTGACAACCGCCGTCAGGGTTTTTGCATGCATGGCGTTGTCATCGACACCCGCTGCTGCTGTGGTAGCCGTCGCAAAATCCCACCTTGGGTTGTTCTCACAGGCATCATTGCCATTGTCATCGTCATGGGTGTGGCGGTGCTCCTCTTCTCTATTTTAGGGTGTGTGGCTATCTTCTTTTGCTGGTGTCGGTGGAGGTAGTTCGGAAGGGGTGCCAAGAGAGAGAGAGAGAGAGAGAGAGAGAGAGAGAGAGAGAGAGA